GACTGATACTAATTAAATGGGAAACGAATCGATTACCTAACGTAACCTCGGTTCTCTCTAGATGAGGGAACGAGCATTGCGTAAGCTAGCTTACGCTACGGGAAAGATTCATCTTACATCAGTCAAGTTGTCATAGTTTTTGTCAAACAAGTTGTGAATTTGTTGTAACATTAAAACAGGAGATCATGACTTACTCCGTGCTCCAAGTGATGTTCGGAGCTCCAGTGATTAGTTTCATCTGTGGGACGGGTGAAGAAACTTTCGGAAGATGTTGTAACAGAATCATATGAACAATTCCAGGATATGCTTTTTTTCATTGGTTGTTGCATTAAATTTTACCCAGATACAATAGTGCCCTTTTCTGATTGGCTATTAAGTAGCACTTCTCTTTTTTTGATTGGCTGATGCGTAGCAGGGTCGACTGCTGAACTCCAGGCGAGACGCGCTTGATTCTCACGTGAGAGCGGCGCGGCCAGAGCAATTGCGTATATTAAATATATTATTAATAGTTTTTCCGCATGAGAAATACAATGTGTGACGGGAGTGTGAGACAAAAGACTGAAACGAGTGACTGTCATGCTCAATGCGTGACACACTATAAAAAAAATATTTCACACTGACTCCACATTTAGGGGGGCCACAAGGGGGTCCAAGCTTGTTGTCGCAGGGGCACTGGCCCCCCCAGGCCCCCGCCTAGAACCGCCACTGCTCACACACACACACACACACACACACACACTTTCTCTCTCTCTCAATAAGCAAAAACATGACTGCTAAAGGTTGTATCAGCGATGGCGGGGTAACATCACTTAACATCACGAGTGATATTCCCTTAGGCCACGCCCCCTTGTCTCCCCAAAGTATTATAAGCAATCATGCGCATCCCGTGTGCAGAATGATGCACTTGAAGCAACACCAAGTCACAGCACGCAACGCTTCACATTGAAAAGAACATAGCGAAGGGATGGTATCTATAATCTATGCTTAGTAGGGCTGCACGATTTGGGAAAATGTCATATTGCCATTATTGAGCCAATATTGCAATTGCGATTTGCGACTCCGATATAATAAAATGGTTTCATGAGTCCAACTTGCTTGGTTCTAAAGTAAAATGCACACACAGATTAATGTTTATTTCTCAACTCAAACTAAAAACAACAACAACAATAAATGATTGATAACACCTATAATGATCAATAAACCATCAACCAAACCAACATTACAGTGATTCCATCAATTGAAAGCCATCAACTTTTAAAAAAATTATTAGGCTTAAAAATATATATATAACAGCTTTTAAATTAAGTGAACTTCAAACAATCCCCACATAAACCCATAATAAAAAACATATTTACCTGTGCCCTTCCTGTCTTAACAGGTACAGAAATTGAATAAAGTTATCAAACAGTCTGCGCTGCCTGAATCATAAATTATATATAAAATAATACTTATTAAAGCTACAAAAGTTCTTTACTCAAGATCAGTGAGTAATTTTCTAATTTCCCTTTGTTCTTTTAACTTTAATGAAAGAACGCTTTATTCGCTGCTGGCCCTTTAAGAGCACCCGTTGCCGAGACGCGGATCTCACACGCGCCTCATAGCACAACTCTTTTCATCCATAGACTTTTCTTATGTTATGAAGATACTAGACAAAACCACATTTTGGCATAATTGTGTGTGCTATTGTTCGTTCAAGCTCGAAAGAGAACTGTTTATTCTGGGCTGGCACACGGTCAGTGCATGCGCATTATGCGTATCATCTAATCTAGGGCACTCACAGGCAGCTTTTCACTTCTTGTCGTGCAAAATGCGAAAAGGCATTTGAACCAATAAGAGGGGGATCTTGTAACACTAGTCAAAGGATGACAAAAAAGAAGAGATGCTGCGCTAATAGCCCTACTTTGTTTATTTCATATAAAATCGCGGCATTTTGCGTTATATAATTGCATAGGTTTGAGATCGCTATTACGACTGCGATATAATTAATCGTGCAGCACTAATGCTTAGTGTATTCTAAAGGGCAATAAACTCCACTCCAGCAAGATAGTCATTTTATGCAAATCATAGACCTTTATGCCTTATCTACAAATAAAGTATAATATTGGGAACATTGATCTTGAAGAGAGTGTCGTCGTGTTACTGTCGCAACCGAACGCGACGCGCTGTGTGAACGCTGATGCATGGAGAATGACTGAGGCGAGATGACTTTCCGTTAACTTTAACTTAGAGACTAAAATATTAATTTTACCACACATTAAGCTATTGAATGACTTTAGAAGTCTTGGAATATAGTGTGAAAACTTGATTGTGCTTTACAGTTTTTTATGCCTTTAGTGGGGCTTAATAACACAATATGCAGAATGTCGGACGTCACTTATAGGCTAAACTGTTTTATAGATAAAACTATTTACATTCGGCAGTCATGAAAACAAATCTCAGATAACGGTTGACTAGGTAACAATGTGTAATTTTGCGCCGGAGTTCTCCTTTAACTTACATTAGCTAGCTAACTACGAACGAGCTAACCAGATAACATTAACAAATTGACAAGCACTTACTGGGCAGAATATGGCTCTTCAAATGAAGGACGAAATTGGAGGTTGTCATCTGACTGTCCGCGATCTTAACGTTGCATGTCTTGCAAAGCGCTGTTCTTTTGCCATCTTGTTGTAAGAAATTCTTGAATCCAAAAGCGACGACGACCCTCGTTATCCCTCCGGCTGACATGTTGATGTGATCTGATGTAAGTGGGCGTGGTGTGCGCGTAAGGTATGAGAGGGCATGACTGATGATCTCTGATCCAGTCATGACAGCGCTATTCTCAGCCTGCGCTCCAGCTGGATCAACTTTATTTTTTTTTTTACATAATTTATATATTTTATATTCAAACTGAAAACATGATGTGATTAACACTCAAGTCATATTATTACATGCAAGTGTGTTTGATTTATGGACCAAATTTTCAGATCAAGTTTATGGACCAAGTTAATTTAATTAATAAACTAATTATATAAAACTATTAATGCACTGGTTATATGCCTTTACTTATAAAAAATAAAACACTTATTTAAAAAAATACCAGGCTTAAGGCATTTATTTTTTATGCAGGCAATACACACAGGAGTGAAATGGTTAAGACCCCTCCCCCTACAAACACACACACATACACAGACAGGCAAAGTCAGAGAGCAAGACCACAGATTGAGCAAGACCACATTCAAACAAACATATCTGACTTTCTGTGGGTCCTAGCTAATGAGTGTCAATTAGAAAGTTGTCCGGCTCGAGGAGTACAATATACATACCGATTTTTGTAACTGTAGATAAAACTAACAACCCCACTTTTGTCAAAAGGTGGCGCTACTGAGCCCTCACCACGCCCGTTTCTGAAACTTTGCACGTGTCTACTGGCTAATAAATGTGATGTGTCTGTCGAGTTTCATGCAATTTCAAGCATGCTAAGGGTCTCAAAAGCATCCTAAAAGAATGGTAACGTTTGATGCGTCGCCACGGCAACAGTTTCAAAGATATCAAGAATCCATTCACAGGTCTACATCTGCCGTATGTTTACATTATACAGATGACGTTTGAAGCAAATCGGGTAAAAATAAAAGGGTGATATCAAAGCATTTTGAAAGTGACACACTTCCTGCTGCCAGTTGGTGGCGCTATAACTTTGACTCACAATAGTCACATCCATGTGATCGTCCTCTTACAGCGAACACACTGCTGAAGTTTCATCAAGATCAGTTAATGTATGCTGAAGTTATAACACACTTCCTGGTTCACGTTTCTCGCCATGATTTCGTTTCCTCGCCACGGCCAAACCGTTCGAGATATCAAAAATCCCCTCGCAAACTTTCATCCTCAATGTCTTGACTTCATGCTGACCGAGTTTTGTCGAATATGGATCAAAGCTCTAGGAGGAGTATTTAACATTCCATTGCGAGCGTTTTACAAACAAACCTCAATAGCCGACTTCCTGTTGGGCTGGGGTAAAAAGTAAAAGCGCGAGGTATAGATGAAACTATGAGATCAACATGTGCACAGAGTTTCATATTATTACATACAAACGTGTTTGAGTTATGGACCAAGTGTTCGGACCCCGTTCCAGGGGGCGCTGACGAGCCGCCCTGCCACGCCCGGGTACCAGCTTCAGCCCGGCTCTGATGGCCGCGGGTTCTGACCCATGTGCAAAGTTTCAAGAGTTTTCGAGCACGTTAAGGGCCCCAAAAATGCCCAAAAGGTTACAAAATAATAATAATAAATAATCCTTAGGAAAACAATAGGGCCTTCGCCCTTTCAGGGCTTGGGCCCTAAAAATAAGTAAATAAAGGAAGGACATGACATTATGACATAAGTGCTGTATGCTCAACTTGTATTGACCCCAAACTATTCCTTTAAGTGTGTTTGTTGTGTGTACACATTCAGAGCACTGATTAATTCCACTATAATTGAAATACTAAATGCTTTCAGTGTGTGCCTGCCTTTTGGCTATGACTTCCACCCTCGCAGAAGCTGTTGCTGAGGATTCTTAGTTTGGAGCACCTCGCCTGGGCGGAAAGGAGAGATGGCATTCCTCACTACAGGAGAAGTAGCTGATCCCTACAGCTACAATGGAGGAGGATTATGTGTGTGTGTGTGTGTACTAATCTGAATTGGTAATTGCAATATCTTGCCAAGAATTAATGTTTTTTTTTGTACATGTAAAATGAGAGTTGACGAGGTCTATACAGTTTTCAACGAAAGACATTTTCAAAACAGTAATTTGCTTAAATTCTGACATTTAGTTCACAGTGTCTAAGAATTCAGATTGACCTTATTTTACTTTTTTTGTTTGTTTGTTTTAAAGCAAAATGAGCGTGAGTGAAGGGCATGCAAGTAAACAGCTCAGTGCAGCTCATTACCAGCCGTTACTTAACAACAAAAAAAGCTGTAAGATGTAGAAGATCTAAAGAGATATTTCTGAAAGATGGTAGGAGGAGTTCATTTCTTCTTACCATTCTCGGGGTGTTCCATCTCTCCGATGCTGCCATCAGGGGTGGTGCGTTCATAGTGGTCTTCGGGTAGGGCGAGGGGCCCGATACGCGGCCCTGAAGAGCTCTTACTGCTGGGTGTCTCCGACTCTTCCAGGCCGCTGTCATAGTAACTGTGCTGAGAAGGATCCTGCAGATCTTGCGCCTGATTGGCTGTGGAGAAGGTCACTCGGCGATGCGGGAGCTGTGATTTAACAGACAGAGAGAGGTCAAAGGTCAATGTTCATGTTGATATTGATAACATCAGGTATCTTGGTGAATGATTGAATAATTTTCAATCTAATATACAATAACTTTGTACAGTGAATCAGAATTGATCAGTTTTTAGCTCACATATTTAGCGCTGCTAGTGCACCATTTGATCCACAGACATGTATGATAAATGATGTTTATTGTAACAAAATAATGTGTTAATTTCTAAGTGATCTGAATTGCAATTTTATCCGAACTAATATTTTGAGAGACCAGAATATCATAGAGACTTGGCCATGGGCTTTTTTTTTAGCAAGTAAACACTAATATTCAATAAATAACCATTCATATTTTCTTAAAAAAATAAATAAATAATTATTACAATACAATTCAATTATCACAATTATAATTTTATATATATATATATATATATATATATATATATATATATATATATATATATATATATGTATGCATCACTGGCATGATCAAATCCCTCAGCACACACTCATTGTACATCCCAGAGTCATACACACAGACACCTAAACACACTCTCTCTCTTACACACACACACACACACACACACACCTAAGGCTCACTGAGGAGTGTATTAAGCAAGTGTTAGCTAAATCCAGTGTGACTGCAGAAGCCAGGTTTGATAAGGATGATAGAAGCCACAGCTCTCCCACAGGAGAAGCCCACTTCACACCCCACCCCTCCCTCCAGCGGCACTGGTGAGTGAATAGGACATTTCGTCAAGATGGAGTAAGACAGCTCGCAAATTGGCATTTGGAGCTAGATGGAGACCACTGCCAGCCACCCAGCTCTCCGAGGCACATCCACCCCTCCACATACCAATCACAAAACACAAACCTTTAGAGAGAGCAAGAGAAAAGGAGTGGGAAAGTAAAAACAAGTAAAATAAATCCATACTCATCCTCTCACTGTTATCTATAATACAGAGATGCTCCTCAACCACATCTATCTCTCTCTCTCTCTCTCTCTCTCTCTCTCTCTCTCTCTCTCTCTCTCTCTCTCTCTCTCTCTCTCTCTCTCTCTCTCTCTCTCTCTCTCTCAATTCAATTCAATTCAATTCAATTGAGCTTTATTGGCATGACTGTAAAATAGCACAATATTGCCAAAGCAATAGTAATAAACAAACTCTCTCTCTCTCTCTCTCTCTCTCTCTCTCACTCTCTCTCTCTCTCTCTCTCTCTCTCTCTCTCTCTCTCTCTCTCTCTCTCTCTCTCTCTCTCTCTCTCTCTCTCTCTCTCTCTCGTGCCATGCAGAGTTGCGACAGGGAAACACAACCAGTGCATTTCTCCCTCCCTTTCCACTTCTCAGCCTCCTCTTCACCTGCCACACATTCGGTTTGAGAGCAAAGCTGTGATGTTTGTTTTGGTTATTTTTACAAGGCGAACACTCCGCTCTGAACACCCAAAGCTGCTTGCGTCACACGCAAATTATTTCTGAGTGCGAGGAGAAACTCTTAAAGAAATACACAAAGAAATGACTGACTGAAAACTCACTTCTTTTAATCTCCCACTTATGCTGGAGACAATGAAGAAATCCTGGAGTACACAAAACATTTTTCAAGACAGGCCAGATGACCCTGCCGTTCATAACATAAGTGTTCCTATTGGTTAAATGTATAAATGTTGCTCAGAGGAATGTTGTTCACCACTGTGAATGTGATGCTTTCACATTTGCTGAAAGAAATGATGACTGTTCAGCGGGCAGTAATTACTGTAGGTCTACTATTCTGTCTCTGTAATTGCAATTTTCTAAAGTGCTATAAATATTACACCAAATTTCGAGCAATATCAGCTGTTCCAATATGATTTTATGACTTTATTACCTTCCAGTAAATAGAATGACTCTTTTTAAAAATCAGACGACTGATAATCTGATTGAATTAGTTTATTTTGTATGCACACCTTGTGACTATTGCTCTGCCATGACGCATTAAGCTTGATCTATCTATCTATCTATCTATCTATCTATCTATCTATCTATCTATCTATCTATCTATCTATCTATCTATCTATCTATCTATCTATCTATCTAGTCATAATCTTACTATATATATACATACATAATACTGACCCTATATATATATATAGAAAAATCATATAATAAACAAAAATGTAGTTTGTTGCTTTACTAAGCAAAAGCAATGAAGCTAACTTTTATTTTCAACTGAATGTCTATGCTGCAATATATCATTAAGGATTTCAGCATGGGTTAATGGAAATTTTCGCCACACAAACAAGAAAGATTCTTCCATAAGTACATTAATGAGGAGGATACGTCACCTTTATTGCATCTGTGTTGCGGTTGCTAAGTTTAATGGAAAAGGAATAGCTGGAGATAATTAGCCATTCCTTAAGTGCATCTGATGTAACTGAAGATGGGCGTTAGTTGAGCCATCTTGATGCATGCAAAGGCTCATGGGAGGCTTCAAAACCTTCGGTTGCTGCGTGTAACACTTTAACACTTTGACTTTTTTAGCACTCCTAACACATGCCTCATCTCCTCTGTTCCAGATAAAATAAAGATAAGCCGCACAGTGCACATTTGTGTAAAGCACGACACTTCTATTCAGAGGGGTGAATACTTTTTGCTGAGGGATTCGTTTTAGGCCTCTTGCTGCGAAACCTGCCACCCCCTTACGCTGATAAACTAGAGCTTGCAGAGTGTCCGGTGGATGTGTGTAGGACACACAAACACACTGGTCTATTGTCCTCCCTATTCAGTAAGAAGGGCGGTAAATAATACCAGACGTGCAGCTCTGAGCTTATTGGATCTGTGCATCTGTATCTTTCTGTGTGTGTTTCATTGTATCCTGTTCCTCATTAGTTTTCTCTCCGTGAGGATAGGACAGTGAAGAGCTATTTTGTGAGACTATAATCCATACTCTCACACAGACACATATGCAGAGATCATACTGGGGATGCGCTGATATGATAATATGATTTCTGTATCTCATTCTCAAACTGAGATGACTAAAAGTGGATCAGAATATAGAGAAGGTTTTGAGTGCAGTGTGTGTGTCTGTAAGATGGAGTTTCTTTCGGTGTACTTTCTTGTAAAAGCTGCTTTTGTTCCCTCTCTTGGTGTACTTCTACTATTTTAGCCCCCAGCTAAGACAGCACTCACTCACAAACAAAACCAGCTCCCACTACTAACCTCCCCACTCCCTCCCTTGTGCTGTCGGTCTTACTCTCCCTCCCTCTGTTTCAAGCTAGAGGGTAGGTGCCAGGGTTGAGTTATGTAAGGAATGACAGCTATGCCTGAGGATGGGATTGGTTAGCTGGAAAAATGCACCTGTGGGACTCAAGTACCTGCCTCAGTCCTCAGACTGCAGAAAAGCTTTGATTCCTGTTAACAGAATCAGAGAGATGTGTAGAGAGAGACAAGGGTGCAAGGAGACGAAAGTGGGAGTGAATTCTGGGACTATGAGGGATGGAGATGCCGAGGCGCCGGCAAGCCAAACAGGAGAGGGAGACGAGCAGATAAGGTGAAGAATAAAGTATGAAGAGGGTGATTCATGCGATTGGGTGGGAATTACACTGAACTGATTCTTAAGGACAATGTGAAGTCAAAATTGACTTGTTTCATTTATGAAATAAATTCCAAAGAAATATTGGAGGCAGAACATTTATTTTCCTCTATGATGAATTTCTTGACGTCACCAATCCATCTGTCACACCGAAGCCGCATCCTGCTAAGGAAGTCTATAATACCTGGGTAAGGCTAGCAATCTGGGATCATTCTTATTTGTTTATTTATATTTTCCATATAATATAACGCAAGATATAACCTGAGGGTATGTGGTTTTAAAAATCAAGACACAAATGTGTCTCAAGTTTCTCTTCAGAAAGTCAGCATTGTGCTGTCAAAACTCCCAGATATGTATTCCTCCATCATTTCTAATGAAGTGAAGACTCATTTGCACACTTGGAGGCTTTCAGCAGATACATTCTCCCCTGAGGAGGAGGAAGACACGACTCCACGATCTACAGTTGTGTCACACACTCCCTTCCCATCAACTGCCTCGCCGACACTGGCTCTTAATGCAACATTAGCATGTGTGTCTAATTCAACTGGAAGCCAGAGGCCCAGGTCTAAAGTCTGCCTGTGGATTAGAGAGATGAGATGAGAGCAGACAGCAGCTGCCCAATCACCTGACTTAAGACTAACAACCTCTAACAGGGCCTCAAACAGACATGCTCGGCAAACGCTACGCCAAGGCAAATTTCGGATGGTGCCTTAGTGATGAAGAGGCGGCCAGATTGTCATTTTTTCCATGTTAAATTAGCAATCAAAAGCTACAAGAATTTGTACAGAACTTCATTTTATCATGGCTTCAAATGCATGTTTTTGTCACTGTCACGGATGGGGCACATCTGTTTTGCAAAATAAATGGGCATTATGTAAATTCTAAATGGAAATGAAGTGTGACCTACTAAACATAACTCAAATGGAAATAGTGGTCAGACTAGAGGAGGGAAAAAAATAGATATCTAACAATACATTGTTTTGACTACATGTTTAAACACACACAATATTCACCAATATTCAGTTGTGTTATCATTTGAATTCCTTTCACATGAACCAAAGTGCAGCTAAACGCAACACGAAGTGAAGGGTCTGAAGGTTTGCCATGGCAACAGGGGTCTGTGATGGATACACTACAGTACTGACATAGGTAGAGAGACGCTCGCATTTTCACACATACGCACACAGCCACCCAAATCTCGCTTCAACACAACAAATCAACTTTAAAAACATCAAGTGTGTCTGTGAATATATTTTCAATTTACTGCCTCAATGCACCAAACATATCAGCTCTCAAACGCTCAGATATCGCTGGCAACACAACGGCAGCATGCCAATCACACACTTATCAGCTCAGTTTAGATTACTCTGGAAGTTACAGTGTCAAGGGTATTTCCGATCAGCACTCGCACACACACACACACACACAGA